ATGAGTGTTCTGATGTAATTATTATTATTGTTTCTTTATAGGTAAGGGTAAGGTGTTTCCCCCCTCTGGCTTTCTTTGTGATTTTCACTTTGTCTTTGGTCTTCTATAGCTTGAATATAAGATGACTAAATGTGTGTTTGTTTGTTTTGGTATTTACCTTACTTGGTATTTTCTTAGCTTCCTGGATCTGTAGTTTGGTGTCTGTCATTAACTTTAGAAAATTATCAATCATTATTAATTCAAATATTTCTTCTGCTCCCTTCTCACTTCTCTTTCTGGTATTCCAATTATGCATATATTTTATCTTTCATAATTGTTTCGCAGTTCTTGGGTATTCTGTTCTGTTTTTTTCTCTTTTTATTTTTTTTCTCTTTGTATTCAGTTTTGGAAATTTCTACTGACAATATCTTCAGTTTCATTCTTTTCTCATCTGTGTCCAATCTATTCATGAACCCTTCAAAGGCAATTTCCATTTCTGCTACAGTGTTTTCAATTTCTAGCATTTCATTTTGAATCTTTCTTAGAGAGTCTGCATTTCTCTGCTTATATTACCCATCTGTTCTTGCATGTTGTCTGTTTTTCTATTAATGACCTTAACATATTAATCATAGTTACTTTACATTCCTGGTCCGATAATTCCAAAATCTCTGCCCTATCTGACTCTCATTTTGGTGTTTGCTTTGCTTCTTTAGATTGTTTTTTCTTGCCTTTTAGCATGCCTTGTAATTTTTGTTGAAATCTGGACATGAAGTACTAGGTAACAGAAACTGAGGGAAATTGGTTTTTAGTGTGAAGTTTAATGTTATTCTTGCTAGGAGCTGGGCTGTATTTAATATGTGCTATAGCTGTAGGTGCCTGAGGCTTTAGTTTTCTCGCTTTTACTTTCTTTCCTGTTGTCTTTGGGTTTCCTTAAGAACTCCTTCCTAAATAGACTCTGTGTCTTGCAACTTTCTCAGTTGTAATCCACTGTTATAATACCAGAGCTCCATTAGTGTGGTACTGAGGTAGTGGGAAGGGGAAGCATTCTATAATCTTATAATCTCATTTTAAAAAATGGGCTTAGGTCCTTGGGCTGTGATCTCCAGAAGTGTGTCTTAGACCCCCCCCCCCCCCAAATCCTGCCCTTACTGAGGCAAGGAGGCTAGAGTGGCTGGAGCTCGCCAATTGTTTTTCCCCCAGATCCAATAAAACTACCAGGAAGTAGTCTTCCTTGGAGTGCAAGCATTTGTTATGGAGAATTCTTTGGGTGAACCTCAAAATTATTACTGTTCCCCTCTCCCTGCCCAAGACATTAGGAGATTTCCCCCCAGTCTTCACTGTGAGAATCTGATGAGGTTCTTGGAGGCAAAATACATAAAAATGTGGGGGCCCATTTAAGATTAGGGCCCCAGGAGTTTTTTTTTTTTTTTTTTTTTTTT